TCGTACGATATAATACTGGATTCTGATCTGTATAACTATGATTCTGATATGATTCGGATACCATTCTGTTCTGTTCCGATATGATTAAACTTCTGATATTATGTACAATTCCGTATTCTGATTTGATATGACTTCTGTTTCCGTTCAGTTCTGTCTGATTTGATCTGTTTCGTTCTGATCTGTCCGATTTGATATTTGTCCGATTCTGTTCCGATTTCTGATTGGATTTTGGATCTGATGTGTTGGTTTTGGATTCTGAGAATTTTGATTGGAGTTGTTGCTTTTGCTAAGCTTGTTGAGCTCACTCTGTTTTCTGGTGGTTTCAGGTTATGGAAAGGGAAGGAAGTGCCAGGACTAGAGTTCAGAGTCTGATCAGTATATGTCTTTTGTACTTTTGATTTTTGTACGGTCATGTTTTCTTCTGTTACTTTCTTCTGCTGAGCAGCCAATGGTAAACGAGGTATTTGTAATGATTGTTTTTGAGGAAAAGAAAGAAAAAGATAGATGTTTTGTTCCGCTGTGTTTGATGATTCATAGTAGCTCTGTGTTTGTGTGTCTGTTGAGTTTAATTATTTGGAAGAATCAGTTCAGTAACCAAATTCCAAAGCCAGATCCTGGATAAAAAGGTTTTGTCGCGGCCTGGTGCGAGCGGGGTCCGTCTCGGATCGAGTCGGGTCGTGACATCTACGCTCCGGGATAACCAAGCCAAAGCAAATATTCACACTGTCAGCTAACGATTCAGTGCAGACCACCCCCACCTCTTACACTACGGCAGCAAAGCATGCACATTGGCGTGAGGCAATGTCCTCCGAATTCCTGGCCTTGCAAAAACAGGACACCTGGACACTCGTTCCAGCTCCGCCAGATAAGCCCATTCTCGGCAGTAAATGGACGTTCAAGACAAAGCTAAATCCCGACGGTCAAGTCATCCAATACAAAGCTCGCCTTGTGGCACAATGCTGCTCACAAGAGTTCGGGGTCAATTTTACCGAGACATTCAGTCCCGTCGCCAAAATGGTAACGATCCGAATGCTTATTACCATTGCTCTAACTCACAACTGGTCAATCAAACAGCTAGACATTTCGAACGCTTTCCTTCATGGCAATCTTCAAGACGAGGTGTACATGTGACAACTGAAAGGATTCGAGGACAATCAGCACCCGAAGCATGTGTGCCAGCTACGGAAATCCATCTACAGCTTAAAACAATCCCCGAGGCAATGGTTCCACAAGCTCACCAAATTCTTGCAAACGCTCAGATTCAAATTCAGCACGGCAGATCCATCTCTCCTATGTTTTCAAAACAACAACACAAAACTATTCGTCCTTATTTACGTTGACGATATCCTCATCACCGGCAACAACACAATGAAATTGAATGAAGTCCTCCACAGCCTCCGCTCGGAGTTCAGCCTCAAACAACTCGGTGACATCTCTTTGTATCTAAGAATACAGGTGATCAAAACTAACTCTGGATATTTTCTGTCTTAATCACACTACGCACAAAATCTTCTTTCCACTGCAGGATTCGAGGACTGCAAGCCATCACCGTCCTTTGCTTCACCTCGGGCTCAATCAAATCCAGACAATCAACCTTTCTCCAATCCCCAACTATTCTGCAAAATCGCTGGCTCTCTTCAATATCTATCTATCACTAGATCGGATATAGCTTTCACTACAAATGCTATCTTCCAGCAGATGCATCATCCCCGCAACAGCGATTATCAAGTACTCAAACGCCTGCTACGATACATTTGGTCTTCCAGTTCGGCACGGACCGCTTCAACTCAAGTGTTACACAGATGCAGACTGGGCCGCAAATCCCACAGATCCTAAATCAATCTCAGGTTTTTGCTCATTTCTAGGACCGAATCTGATTTCCTGGTCAGTCAAAAAGCAACAAACAGTGGCAAGATCCTCAACAGAAGCAGAATACATAGCACTATCGGCTGCGACATCAGACGTCATCTGGATTCGGCGACTGGCTTCCGATCTCGGCATCCCACAGACCAATCCAACCACTATCTACTGTGATAACATATCAGCGATAGCTCTCGCACATAATCCGGTCTTCCATGCCCGGACCAAACATATAGAAATAGACTATCACTTTATCAGCGACCATGTACAAAATGGCACCATCAGCATTGCTCACATTGGCTCATCGGATCAGCTTGCCGACATCCTAACAAAAACTATTCCAATAAATTACTTTATGGAACTTCGCTCCAAATTGACCATTCGATCCTCGAACGATCAATTTGAGGGGAAATGTTAAGACACCATTAAGATACTTGACACATCAGCATTCCAGAAATGTCTTCAGTTGTATTAGTTGCCTTTATATACCGTTGTATTTGTAATACTGTAGATAGACATAATAAAACATCTCTTTCTCCTTCATCGTTCTCGTCTGTTCCTCTTTCCCGTTTCTCTATCTTCACAATACATCATAAAACATGATCCACACTTAATTTTATTAATTCTCAAGCTCTTAAATCCTACGTCTATAGAAAGAGATAGAAATTAAAATTATTAATTAATTTAGAATTATACTATTTACCATGATTTGTTATCAATGATAAATAAAAATAACATTTATAATTAACTCATAAATAGTTAAAAATATAATCAAAATTTAAATTAATAAGTAATGTCATAATTAAAATATTGCCTAATTATATTATTTTTGCAATTATAATTTATTGTAATGGTATTTGAAATTGTAATTAATCTAAAACAAAAGATCTAATCTAGCTTAATTAAATAAATAGTAGGGTAATCAGTAATTAAAATTAATATAAATAACTTAATTAATATATTTTAAAATATAAAATATTAATTATATAGTAGTGTAAATAATAAATAAATAATTAATAAGTAATAGAATACTTTAGTGATTAATAAGATGATTAATAGTATAATTAATAATTTAAATTAACTAATAAATAAAACTTAATTTATTAGTAAAATTATTAAGTAAATAATTAGTAATTTCAAAAAATAATTAACTAATTAATTATATATCAAATTTATATCAAGTTAATATATAAATAATTAATTTGATAATTAATACTATAATTAGTAATTAAATTAACTTCTAATTATGTTATTATTATTATTATTTATTGATGATAATTAAAATTAAAACTAATAAATAACTCATACTTAACATAAATTAAATTTAAAAAACAATAAATTTAAATTTTAAAGGAAATAATCATATTAAATTCTAAGTTACATTGTAAAAAGTTTTATAGGATTTAATTATCATTTATCTTGCCAAATAATTTTTAGGGTTTAAGAGTTGAGTTACTAGTTGAAATAGAGTATATGGATCATTTCTTGTTAATAACATACATTGCACAAAATCAATAAAAACAAGAGTTTAGTAGGTTAAATTGCAGATTTTATCCATAAGAAGACTTTGTTATGCTCAAGTCAATGACTAAGCAAATAAATGAAATTGAATCAACAAATTTTTTTATGCATGATGAAGAACAATGTCTCATAAGAGAGCCCTTCCTTTGTGAGGAAAAAATATTCTATGTGATCACCGGACATCGTTCGGAGACGAATCAGAACACGCTACATTACTTTTTTTTGTGTACCGGTGCTGTGTACCATTGTGTACAGGGGCATATTCTGATTTACTTCTGAACTGTCATGTGTCCGCACAAGAATAATTTCTCCTTTATGAGAGAATGTTGAGAATGAGAAGTTTGTTCTTGGCACTTTGATAGTTTCATCAAAATGTATGGTGAATGGAAGAAACACATTATCTTGAATTCATCCTATATATAAGTGCCCTCAATTGAATGGTATTTGGTCCCATGACTAGCCAGAGGATTAACAAGCAAGGCACCCCATATCCAAGAGCCTTGTTAGACTATCATAACTCTAATAATGATGGACAAATGAATGGAGTTCTTCTACTTCAAGAATAGTGTTTGTTGGAGTTATGATTTATATATTTGATCTATATGTAAGACTTATAGATTGGTGTTGTGAATGATCTGATCTGAATGCCCAAATTGATATTGGAACTCTGAGTTTCGTTCTAATTAAATGTATTTCATGAAACATGGCCTAAATGTTGTCATAAATTTAACTCCATTCAATGAAATAAATGTAGGAGCATCCTTTGTTTGTTTGACCATAGTAGCATAGGGATTATGTAAGCATAAATCCTAGAATCTTTTGATTGAATGAACATAATTAATTTAGAATTGATATTTTTTTTTAGAAAACATCAGTCACCCCCTACTTATGAGTTTTACAAATAATTTCTGCCCTCAAATAGTCAATTACATAATATATTCCATAGAACTATAGACATTTTATCTCAACATAATATGAGTTTGAAATTTCAATTCCTAAAAATAAAAAATAAGATTTTTTTTATCATTCTTAACTTCCTCAAAAAGTTAGCCATTATAGCTCAAAGTTTAAATATATAGTCTAAATTTAAGATGCCCAACCTCCCTGTCCCCTCTTCATACTATTATACAAAAGATGTAATGTTTGGTACCTATAGTTGAGCTCTTAATTCTATGCATTATCACGCAATTTTTTGCCTTTGGCTGACAGTACCACGGTGAATTATTACGTACAGTCACCGGACCGTCCGTACACCAATCCATACGCGCCACGTCACCCGGATACACCCGGGGCCCAATGTATCTAGGTGACGTGGCGCGTCTGGATTGGTGTTCGGGTAATTTTCCTAGTATCACCCACCAAGTTAGTCAAGTGTGAAAGTACTTGTCCATGACACTTTGTACCAAGAGTTATTTATTATTATTATTTTAATTTTTGATTAATATAAAAAAATTTTGGCCCTCAATTTAACCTAAATAGTAAAAAAGAATATTTTGGTATTTTTCTATAATTATTTGAGCTAAGAATTAATTTATTATTATTTAAACACTAGGTTGACTATAGTAAGCCTCATGAGTCATGACAACCGCGTGGGTTAACTAGCCCGGGCCCTAATCAACCCCGCCTCTTTGGCCGGCTGGGGACGGAAACCCTAGATGATCCCTTTGAGCGGCTTTTGCCACAATATATAAATGCACAGATTGATATCTTCTTTACGCCCTATCTTCTTCTTCCCAGCTGTTGCCGCCGTCGCTCTTCGGCTTCTGTATATCTAAGATTTGCTGGCGAACTCTTTCATGCTCTCATGTATGTATAAAACAAGATCTGCGCTTAATTTTATTCAGTGATCAATCTCAATCTCCCAATAATTACAACTACAGTAAGTAGATATGTTCCTGGTCATGTGCGTCATTCTTAGAATGTAGACACAATGAAGTCCTCGATACGGCGCCCGCGCCCATATTAAATTAGGGTTCTTCTCTACTCACGATCATTTTTATCTCCGGCGGCTGCTATTAGGGTTTCTAAGAACTCTAGGCTAAGGTTCTATTACGGTCCTTGATCTTGAGTTTTGTTCGTTCCTCCAATCTATGGGTCATAGCTTTTCTTTTTTGGTAGGGATCATCGTTAAATGTAACATATTTTGTGATAAAAAGCTTTTGATTTTTAAATCAGAGGGAATAGATGGCTCCTGCACAGCCGAAGACGGGTCTTTTTGTTGGGCTCAACAAAGGTCATATCGTCACCAAACGGGAGTTGCCGCCTCGTCCTTCAAGCAGGAAAGGGGTAAATCTCAGATTTCTTATCTCAGTTGGAAATTATAGCGCTTTTCTGGAAGAGTATTTCTTTTGATGCGTGGTAATGCTGTCGTTTCGATGGTTGCTATTTTGCTTAAACATTTTGTTTAAAGATTTTGTTTTGCAGGTTATTAGTCTCGTTTCTGTCATATTCTAATTGCATTTTAAATTTCTTTTTGTAATGGATACCAATATTATTTATGTTAGCCTCTGGTTGCTCTGTAAATAACTTGGGATTCTTCATTGCATTTGTTGTTTTGCTGAATGCGTTTGAAATTGTTGATTTTTTTGGTGAATGTTGAGCATTGAAATGAAAATTTGATGGAGTCTGGATTCAATCCCATGAACTTTGACAATATTTTTCAAAAGCTTTACCAACTAAGTTAGCTGACACCCACAAATTGTTTGTGCTAGTATCTGGCTGTTTGGAGAATGGCTTTATTTGTTGAAGCTTCAATGTTTGATGCATATTTTTCTATCAACAACCTACTGCTACAAAACTTTGTTCTTTCTTCTGTAGTAATGGCCTTCGTAAGATAGTCTATTTCTTATGAAGTTCCTTTAATAGTGGGAAAATTTGTAAAATCTTTGAATTCATTTTTGAGCTTTTTTTGTTAATTTTTGCAATCTTTACTGTTGCTGTCTCAACCTCATCTCATCTTTTAATCCTTTTTGAGGTGCTAATTTTTGTTTCTGCTTTTGTATGGGCTCATTTGTCTATTTGGTCTTTAAGAAAACTAGCAAGAGGGTGCATTTTGTGAGGAATTTGATACGGGAAGTTGCTGGGTTTGCACCTTATGAGAAAAGGATCACCGAGCTTCTGAAAGTTGGAAAGGATAAGCGTGCATTGAAAGTTGCTAAAAGAAAATTAGGCACTCACAAAAGAGCTAAGAAGAAGAGAGAGGAGATGGCTAATGTTCTGAGAAAGATGAGGTGGGTTCTTGCTTTCCAGTTATCATTTTGTTATTTGCTATCTGTTTATACTGTTGTTAAAATTGAATTCTTCATATCCATATTGTTAGTGAAATGAGGCTTGGTATTCCACCTATATAGAATCTCAAACCTCAATTAAAAATGAGAATCATATTTATTCAATCAAAATTATTATTTTATTTATTTCATTATTTTTGATTTCATAACGCAAAATAAATCATATTTTCAACCATCCATTTAATTTCATATATTTACTTTTCAATCATTTTATATTTTTTTATCTTAATTTCATTTAGGGGTTTTCTGGTTGTAAGTAAAATGTGTGTAAAATATTTCAAATGCAAGGGTTTTGAAAATATAGGTGTTTTGTTGGATGAAAAAAGAATGTAGAGTAAAATAAATGTAGTGTAAATCATTTTAGTTCATTTTTGAGGTAATCAAAATTCACCCAGTTTTGAGTAAGAATTGTTTACACTGCAAGCTTTGCTTGACCCCCGCCGCTGCTAATCTCTGCCTATCGCCGCCACCAGCAACCATTGACCACCGCTGCCCACAACTGCTAGCTGCCGCCACTAGATGCTGGCCAACATCGATTGTTTCCACCTGCCGTCGTCCACCTCCACCGCCACCCACGGCAGGCCGATGTTGGACACCACCTCCGCCACCCACCGCAAGCCGCTGTTGGATACTACCACCATGACCACCCGTTGGTCGCCACCATCTTTGGATTGTACATTGCATTCATTTTACTTCAAAAAAAAAAATCATCCACTTGCATTTACTTCACATTTATCCAAACAAACCAAACTATTCCTTTTACACTGCATTTCAACACATCTACCTTCTTTACTGCTATAGGTTCCAAGAAAGTGCTCCGATACCAATTTGATATAATTTGTAAATGAAAATAACATAATAAACAAAAAGTGCATGAACACAAAGATAGAGATTAATTTTTGTATTAATACTTCAATAATAATGAAAGATATAAGTAATATACTATTCGAGAGGTAGTGAGCTCTCTCAATCAATCTAGATGCCATTAGGAAGCCCTCAAGAAGAAAACTACAACAAACAAACCAAACTAGCCTTAAATAAGCTCTTCTTATTTTTCCTCCCAAACAGCTTTACTGCCTTAATTAATTTGCTCTCTTATTTTGAATTCAGATTGGGATTAAAACAACAATTAATTCTCGTATTGCCTTTATTAATTTCCCTCTCCTATTTCAATTCACAATGAGAATTCTTTCCTTCAATTTTAATTAAAACTTTCCTATATAACTTCTCCTTAATTGCTTCTTTCATATTGATTTATAGCTTTGTTGGGCGCCACAAGTGGTGACCGAAATCCCCCGTGGTTATGCTGAGTGTTCCGTCTAGCCCAAGAGCTGATTTGGCCCTAACTGGCTGTCTGGGTTGGACCAGCCTCTCTGCTCCCCTTCTCCCGCCATATTAGACACACCATGGGCAGACTTTTTTTTTAATAATTGTCAATCTTAAACGTGCAATCAAAGCACCTAATGCTAGTGTTTTCTATAAAAAATCATTACAAAATAATGTATAATGGTATACATCTCACATAAAAAGCTATAAAAAAAACTAATAGCGGCTTATTAAAGTTACATTTCAATATTTCATGAAATTTACTTAATTTTCAACAATAGTCTTTTATCTGCATTTTTCATTAGTCATGAATTTTTTCAATATTAATATTATACTATTCACATATCCTCTTAAGAAACTAAAAAAGTACATTATCTTTAAAATAACCTCATAAATATATGAACATATTTTTGTATCACTAATTGGACCTTTCACATTTTGCATGAGTCCACCCATCGACTGTTAAACTTTAATTGCAAATTTAATAGACCAAAAATAGCTTGCGGGGTGTCCAATGCACGTAAACTTGTCTCACAAGCATGCTAGGGTTTCTTCTGCAGAGCCCTGCATTAGGTACCCATACCCACACCCACCCATGTACCCACCCATACCCAATGGGCATGGGTTGGTATGGGTACGCTCATGGCATCGTGGGTGGGTATGGGTGGGTACTCAACATCAAAGGACAACCAATTTATATTACTAATTATCATATACATGCAATATATTATTATAATCCTTACTACGCAATGTGCAACACTGAACCGCGTCACAACCATGATAAATTTTGATATGTGGCTTGAAAGTTTGCAGTCAGAGAAAATGACAAAAAACCTCAAGGCCATTAATCTATGGCAGACTGCATTCAATAAGCGTGGAAAGTGGGTGGGTATGACATCAGGAAAGTCACCAAAGGTGGGTGTGGGTGGGCAAAGCCCGCCAGCGTAGAGCGTGGGTACCCAATGGGTACCCAACCAGGACCCCATGTAGGGCTCTGTTCTTCTGGCCATCTTCAATTATAATTTTTCTGCGACGCCTCGATCTTTTTATTTTTATGTAATTTAATATTGAAATGTTTTTCTCATGTTACATTTGAATATTTGATATTAACAAAACATAATGAAAAAAATGCTTAAGTAAATTTATGAACTTAATTATTTTGAAGTTACCATATGACTTAAAAGCAGTATACATATATTTTATAAGCATATCATATGCTTCAGACATTGTTCATTTTATACATGCGCATCTTCATAATTTGTAATAATATGAGATATTTAAACATGCTACAAATATGAAGTTATTAATAATAATAGAATTATAGAAGTATAGAACTACAAATGTCTTCTAAATATTAAGTTATTTAGAAAACCTGCAAGGCTGCACGTGTTTGAATTGGAAGACATCATTGGCTTTCTAGCAATTGATGGAGAGTGAAACATAGAGACCTCATTTTCTAATGCTTACAACCAGAAAAAAGGATTTTTCTTGTGATCCGAAAGTTATCATATTGTTGCTGATTTAGTATTTTTACATTATTTCTATGTTATAAATAAATATGTATGTATATTATATTAATTTATGCTATTTGAATATGTTATTAATGCTAAAGTGTTCCAATGATAGACACGCCATAACCCAATTTATTTATAGCAGGAAGTCGATACGGATTTATTTGGATGTTAGCCATTGATGAAGCTATAATGTACTTGATTGAGGTAAAGAATAGATGGGGTTGGTTGGGATATGAGTTGCAAGTAGCATATCTTAACTTAATTCAATTGTCTTTGAAATAGTGGTTGAATTATTTAATAGATCTTTTATGAGAAATTTTAGGCCTTTGAATCTGAAAATGAGATAATTTGTGGATACGATGATTAGACAATGATCAAATATTACTTATTTGGAAGAAGCTAAATGAACAGGAGAGAGTACAAGAACATTGGGAGTTAAAAGCTATTCTATGTCATAAAAGTCAATAATAGAAATATGGTAATGATTAATTGCATATGGGAAGTTTGAAGAACTATTGAGGTTAATATTGTTAGTGATTGGTTGGTTTATAATAAGCTATTTATTGACAATGGTTCTTTAAATGTTATTATTGTTTATACTTCTTAAGTTGGATTGTATGAAAATTGAAGGATAAATTTCGGTAAAAATTGTTGAGCTATTATAAGGTGTACTTGTAGAAGAGAGGATTATTACTGAGGTTGCTCAATATGAGGGTGGCTTAAATGCATATTTAAGGTTATGGCAAGTGGGATATGAAAGGATTCATTCTGAGTATAGAATAAGAGATAAAAGTATTAGGTGAGAAGTTTTACTTAATTTATAGTAATACGGCATATTATAATTGCAAATACATTCTTTAGAAAAATGAGGACTTATTTTCTGTACAAAGTGGAGTTGGTGGGCCATAAATAGAGTTTTTCTTGCGCAAAAATAGAGAATTTTTTTTTGTAAAAATTATAATGTGATTCTTGTAAAATGTTTGGCCTTGCAACTTATTATAGTAGTTATTTATGTATGTATTATGAGTGTAATGAAAATGATGAAGAAATCTCATAGAATAAAATGATGAAACTTGAGAATGTGAGAAGTTAATATTTTAAGATAGCATGCAAGGGAGGCAAATTAAAAATTTAATGTTTAGAGAAACTGGTAGGGCAAGATGGTTTGTTCCATCAATAAAATTGTTTTATAAGTTTTCAAGAGATTTAAAAAATATTCTATGGTAATATGGGGACAACATGTTGGAGTAAGCACAAAATGTTATTAGAGAAGAAAATATAAAATTTAAGTAGTTCTAAAAAAGAATATTATTGAGGCTGTTAGAGGTGCATTAAAGTAGGTGACAATAACATTTTAGTTAACGATAAAGATTTTATTAAAAAAATGACATACTGATAAATTCTTAAATTAGAGTTTAAAGGAATGAGTTATTTAGGACGGGTATTATGAACTAAATATTGCTTTGACTTCAAAAATAATAACTTTTGATGATTCATATTATAATCTAAGTGAAAAGGCTAAAAAAGTAAATGCACAAAATAGATAAGGCAATGTATGATATGATAGATCTAAATATTTTATTATGTTAGATGCTTTAGAATAAATGACATAAGATTTTAGCTAAAAGATAAAGACTTCATATAAAACAATGGCAGATTGATAACTTCTTTAATTAGATTTTAAAGGAAGATGTTATTTTGGGAGAATGCTATGAGCAATGTCTTGCCATGAATTATGGATTGATCTAGAAATCAAAGTTGAGTTACCTTTGAAGAAAATGTATAAAGTTAAACTTTTTTAAAATGAAATATCAATTAAGATTGAGAGAGTTATGGGTGGTGGCGTAGTGATTTGATTAAATTTTTTTTTTATATATAATTTTGAAGGTTCATAGGAAGTTAGCTAATGGAAGAAATTTGTATAGTATTTAAAGAAAGTAGTTAAATTTATGGTAATTATTCAGGAATCAAAGTTTAAAGTTATAAATTGAAGTTATTGGTGCGAGTAGACATATAAACATAAAAATTATACTGGTATTAGATAATTACTTTGGTTTTATGACAGAAAGATTCAATTTGGAAGTGATTTTGTGCTGAGATGATTATTTGAAAAACATAAGAGCAGAGGAAGGAACTTTATGCTATTTTTACTGTTATTATGAAGGTTTATAATATTATTAATCAAGTATCATTGGAATTGATTAGATGTGCATAAGGAAAAGGATGTTTATGAAATAGACTTTAATTTCTTAAAGATATATTTGATTGTGCATTAATTAAAATTAATAGTAGCTGTGAAGTGATTAAAAAGTACTCAATTATATTAGGATTACAAAGGATGAGCATCAATTGTGCATTGTTTTTGTATTTACTCTAGTGATGCTTGAAAACCTAATTAGTATGAGGTGCCTTATTTACTCTAGTGCACTTATTACCTATTACTAGTTTCATGAATTCTCCCTCTTGCCTATCTTAATGTTCACTGAACTTGTGCACGTCTTTCTTATTCTGGCATCTATCACATTTGTTGTACCTTGCATTTCTCGTAGTCACTAACATGTAATAAGTCCTTCATATTGATAATAATAACATTGTCATCTCTGAATGTTCTTCAGATCTGCTGGCGTTTCTGAGAAGAAAAAGTGAGGAATTCCTTCCACATGCAGTTGGAGCCTATGTGCTTGCATTTAGAGAACTAATTATCAATCTCTTTTGGCTTTTGCTATGTTTGTTTTTGTTTTATTCTGGTTTTAGGCACATTTTTGAACTTACTGTTTGTTACTCTATTTCCTATCAATCTTTCCTGGATTGATGAACAAGGATGAACAATTTGTCTATTTTATCATTTCTAATGTGGAATGTTAGTCTTGGTTAAGCAACCTAATAGAGGTAATGAAGTTTTATATTTAGATCCATGGTGGAGAAAAACTCCAGATATTAAAATGATGTTCTTGTTTGTGCAACTGTAAAGGTGGACTTTTTCTGCATGCATGAAGCCCTACAATGGATTAATTTATGCAGTTTTTTTAGGTTATAATGGATATAATTTAATAAGTTCTTTCAAATTTTGGGTTATTTGTATTAAAGCTTTCATTGTTTGACTGCCTTACACTTATTACAAAATGTGATGATATTTTTTGTCCTACACTCCTAATACATATTACCATGAAGATCTTTCATACAATTTCTTTTTGAAGTTGCAAGACAATGTCTTCAGAAGGAGAAATTATTCTATACAGATACCAGATGCAGAACGCTGTCTGAAGGCTAATCGGAATGTGTCATGGTACCGAGCCACAATACTGAGCAAGAGTGATGTGATGGATTATGGTTGGTCTGAGGATGGTATTTGGCGGCACAGAATAATTAATCATTTAGAATCACCTATTTTCTGATGAATGGCTCAAGTTTTTAAAAACTTCTTAGGGCTTTAAAATATGAGATTATTTTGTGCGGACATTGGAAGGTCTGAAGTGCACCCAGAATGATCCTTGTCACTTGGTACCCAGCACCGGTACTAAGAAAAAAAAATGATGTGGAGTGTTTTGGTTGACCTTGAGCGTTTCATATCCGCACAAGATAATTTATCTTTAAATATACCCCATGGTCTCTCCGCTTGGACCCACTTGTTTAAAATTTTATTTTTCATTCTCTTTTAAATTAATGATTAGGATATCATTGTATCATTGGATTAGAGCAAGAGTAATGATTATGAAGTGGGCTTGGCAAGTTTTTTAATCATAAAACAACCGATTATATGGTGGCCTCATTCGACAACAATATATATCATAAACACGGCAAGTTTTTTCTTTAGGCCTCGTTTGGTTCCTGCAATTCTTTTCTATAAGTTGGTAAAAAAATAATTATTGAAGAAACGGAGTTCATAATCATCACTCTTGCTAATTTCATCGAGATTGATAATTAGTTCTCTAAACAGAGTACATAATCATTGCTCCTCTGAATGGTTGACCGTGATGTTAGTTTATTATTCTTAGCATCAATGGATATACCACCCATTACCACTGATGCTAAGAATATGAACTACCACTAATGATTAACACATTCATGAAAGTTCTTGAACCATCTTCTACCCTTTCATCCAGACTAAATGTTTCATGCACTTGAGAGTTCATATTCTTAGCATTCGTGGTAGGCATGTTTAGCTCTTCAACTTTCACCTATCGTAAAAGAATTAATTCAGCAGCATGCGACAATACCATTTAACATATCTCATCATCATCCACATGCATGACAATGAACTCACTCCCTAATAACAAACGACAAACTAACATCATAGTCAGCTTAGATGCATCATACTTAAAATGTTATTGTACAACAATAATATTCAATTTTCAACACATTAAAATGTTCGAGGCTTTATATTTTAAGTATGATATGGGCATTCGGTTCAATAGGGGTTTTCCTCTTCTTTTTTATATTCATGTTTATTAATATGTAAAATTTTCATCTATGATGCCTCTTTGCCTCTCATAACTTCAACATTAGATAAAATTTTATTTCTTTGCATTTTTTTGCTTCTTAACTTCTTTCAAACTAATGAAAATTCCGTAATTCTAAATTTATGGAGATTTTACTATCTTCCATGAAAATTAACCATGATTTATTTTAGATTTTGTTATTTTATAAATTGTATATGTTAACTCTTGGTATATTATTAATAATTTTAAATAAAAGTTTATGATTCTTAGTATTCAAATATCATAGTTTAATTTGTCGGTAGGAATTTTAAAATATAAGGAATATATATTTAATTTTAATAAAAGGACAATTTAGTATTTTATGGTTAAAATGCTAAAACTGATAACACAACCAAATAATTTAATAAATTATATCTATTTTTAAATTGCATAAGCATGCAAAAAACAATATAACTAAATAATCTTATTTATTTTATCTATATTTTTTAATAATAACTTTTAAACCAACTTAAAAAAAAAAGGAATAAAACAACCAAACGAACATGAATAAGTACACAGCTCACCTTGGTCTATTGGTTGATAACTTATGCTTCAACTAACTAAGAGATCCTTAGTTCAAGTCTTTGTATATGCGTGATAAGTTTGTCTTAATTGATCTAAATGATAAAAAAAAAAAAAAACATGAACAAGTAGAGGCGACAGACGCGCGCACGAAGTTTGTAGGACCGATCGACCAAACCGTGCGTCTCTTAGCGGGAAGGGCGTGATTTTCGTTGAAAACGAAATGAAAGAGGGCCCGATTGCATTCTAAAATTCCAAAATCCCTCATCCTCTCCCTCCTCAATCCTCATCCTCAACCTGGTGCGATTCACCTTCAAGAAACCGGCGAGCAAAGAAGAGGGAGCCTGCGTGTGATCGACCCAGACCAGTCCTTGCGATCCATCTGAGGTGTGCATTTCATTTCAATTGAGGGATTCGATCGATTCTCCTTCAAACCCCGATCCCACAACCGACCCGCATCCGCCCGCACTGACCTGCCCAGCACTTCAGCGCCCTCCGTGCAACCTAATGTTTGCTAGAATGTGCATCTTCGCTGTTAGGATCTGAAAATAGCAAGTTCTTTGCATTTTTTCTATTTTAGGCAAATGAAATACAGTTCTCCAAATTGGTTCTCTTCTTCTAAGGAAACAAACAAATAATATTAATGAAACATGATAATCTCAGAAATTCTATGTTTATTGATGCTTTTACATATGGAAAGTTTATTTTCGAAATTGTGCTTCAACATTATGTATAAATATGGCAGTAAGTGTTGATGAATTTTGACGGTTTACGATCTCTTTTTCATTCCTGCGTGAGGCGGAACTCTTCGTTCGCGTGAGGTAGAGCTTCCCTCTTCGGCTTCGCTGGTTCGCGTGGGGTAGAGCTTCGAGCGAGTCAATTGCCATTGCCTGTCTAGGGTTTGCTTTTCCTCTTGTGCATTTATTCGTTGATGTTCCAAGCTTCTCCGCCTCCTCTTCCAAAATAGTTCCTGTCGGATCGGAAGTGGCGTCGGGAGCTCGCCCGCGAAGGTAACGAAATTTCTCCCCCTTTACGCGCTTCTTCGGTCGGAATTCTTTTTCCGTCGCGCCAAGAATGTGTTAAATCTGCCCAACCGAAATATTTCGTAAATCCGGGATTTACCACAAAAAGAGGGAATTTTCCGTTACTGCGGCTTAGATTTACCGTGCGATTTGGTTATACATTTTTGGCCGATTGGTTGGATTTAGCTCAAATCCGCTCCAAATCCAGCCTAAATCCTGAATCCGAACAGCCCCTTTAAGTTATTAGGATTTAGGATTATAGGCTTGTTGATAACTAAACAAGCGAATGTTCTTCTTCTGATTTTGTAACTTGATTGTAGGAGTTTATATGCATATCGTATTTTAAAATTACCAGATTTTTTGTGAAGAAGAACCAGAGTGAATCAATGTATCTTGATTGTTTGGCACAAGTGTTCTTCATTTTTTTATTCTATAATTAAGTTTTTCAGATTTTAACTTCATATGCTGTTTAATTTCATATTGTGTATCACTGGTAAAAGGCACTAAAAAGCACTGAGCTGATAATCTCACCCTACATTTTAGTGAAACACCTGTCTTTGAACTTTACTCCCCAAACAAATAGTAGAAACAGTTTTCCTTCATTTACTCTACAGACCCGCTTAAGAAAAAACACTCTTGAGATGTCAGAATACAATGCATTTAATTTACCTCTTATTCTCAAAATACAAGATTGTTAATACATGCAACAAAAAAACCCTTTAATTAGTGTTGCTTTTGCAATGAGCTGCTTTAGGTAGTGCTGATCTTGAAATGAGAGTACCAATATTATATTTGAAAACACATGTATTGTAATAATGGTAATAAAAGGGATTTTGTTGCCTTGTACAGGATCGTTTTGGTACCTGGAAGAATAAGCACAACAATAGCAAACGAACACAGGAAAAGGTAGCAGGAAATACCTCTGTATATTGTATTCTCCCTTGAGAAAACTGTGTGTAGAAGATAACCAAAAGCTGTTTCTCTTCTCTACAATTCACCTATTTGTATTTCCCTGTTTTTACTATCTATTTTCTATATATTAAAAGCTGTAAAATACTTTAAAAAGAGCTGACAGCAGAAAAGTATACTAGGTAGTGGAGAGTAAAAGTTAGTTAGAGAAAACCAAGTGTGCCGCCGAACTTATTTAGCTATCCTGCACTGCATCAGTCCTCCCCGGCTTCAGAAGAGCTCGACTCCGACGAGCTGAGGGTGATTGGAGCATCATCAGTAGAGTGATACGGCCATATGTCGGAGACATTGAAGGTAGCAGAAGTATTGCAACCAGGTGGCAAGTCCACACGATAAGCATTGTCGTTAAACTTTGCAGTGATAGGGACCGGACCAATTTTTCGACGAGCTAGCTTCGAATACTCTCCGGGAGCAAATCGTTCGCGGCGAAGACGGACTAACACCAAATCTCCTACCTCAAAAACTTTCTTCCTTCGGCGAGCATCCACGGCCTGCTTATAACGATTATTTGACTTTATAATCTGCTGCTTAACGTCTGAAAGCATGTTGGAGTAATCTTCGGAGAAGGACGCAGCCGCCGAGGATTTGCATTTAGGCAGAACAATGATATCTACAGCGATATTAGGTGCTTTGGTGTAAACAATGGAGAATGGGGCTTTGCCGGTCGAGCGATTAGGCATGGCATTATATGCAAATTCAGCCTTACTAAGAACCTCCTCCCATTGTTTTGGATGCTCTTGAACTAAGCAACGGAGCATATTTCCCAATGTGCGGTTAACTACTTCTGTTTGCCCGTCCGATTGAGGGTGATAAGCCGAACTAAATCGTAGTTCGGTGCCTAAACGCTTCCACAATTCATGCCAGAAATGGCTTAGGAATTTGACGTCTCTATCGGAGGTGATGCTCCTCGGCAATCCATGCAGGCGGACAACCTCAGTGAAGAAGAGATTAGCAATATGTAGAGCATTTGAAGTCTTTTTGCAGGAAATGAAATGTCCCATTTTTGAGAATCTGTCAACGATCACCATGATGGAATCGTTTCCTTTCCGCGTTCTCGGCAACCCCAGGACAAAGTCCATACTCAAATCTTCCCATATGGAATCGGGTACAGGCAACGGCATGTATAAACCTGTGTTTTGAGCGCCCCCTTTGTATATTTGGCAAACAGGACAACTATCCACAATGCGGAAGGTATCTCGCCTGATTCGAGGCCAAAAAAATCTTTCCTGCAGCTGTCTTAACGTATTGTCCCTACCAAGGTGGGCTGCCAAACCTCCTCCATGGACTTCCCGTATCAGGAATTGCCGCCACGATGACTTTGGAATACACAGGAGGTTTTGTTTGAAAAGAAAGCCATGTGAAATGGAATAATCTTCAAACTGCACGTTGTCACCACATTGCTTCCAAATCTTGCTGAAATCATCATCTTCGGCATACAATTCTTTTAAATGCTCCAACCCGGCTAAATCAGTTTGAAGTTTAGTAAGCAAGATAGACTTTCTACTAAGTGCATCAGCGGCTTTGTTGTCTACTCCGGGTTTGTGCTGGATTGTAAAAGAGAAGCGCTGTAGGAAAAGTAGCCAACGAACATGCATCCGATTAACACTTTTCTGCGTGTTGATATGTTGCAATGCCTTGTTGTCGCTGCATAAGACGAATTCTTGGTGCAATAGATACGACTCCCACTGCTTCAATGCACGGACAATTGCATACAATTCTTGTTCATAGGCGGTCCATTTTTGGCGAGCCGGGCATAATTTCTCGCTGAAGAATGCAACCGGCCTTCCCATTTGTGATAACACCGCGCCAACCCCAATCGCAGATGCATCCGTCTCGACTGTGAACAATTTATCAAAGTTAGGAAGTATCAAAACAGGCGCAGTTGTGAGTGCATTTTTAACTAACTGGAAACTCCGTTGTTGCTCTGGTCCCCAATAGAACGATTTAGACTTCAAACAATCCGTAATCGGAGCCATTAGGATGCTGAAATTTTTAATGAACCGTCTATAAAAGTTCGCCAAACCGTGGAAACTACGAATGTCAAATAGGGAATGTGGGATCGGCCAGCTTTGTATTGCCGACACCTTGGAAGGATCCACATGAACACCTTCTTCAGATACAATGAAACCCAGAAATCGCACCGAGGCAGTGACAAGCTCACATTTAGGAAGGTTTAGAAATAACCGGTTGGTCTTCAATACCTCAAGTATGGATCGCAGATGCTGGATGTGCTTGGGACGGCTTTGGCTGAATACCAGAATATCGTCAAAATACACGATGCAAAACTTGCCAAGAAACGGTTTCAGTATCTCGTTCATCATGCGCATGAAAGTAGAGGGGGCATTGCAAAGCCCGAAAGGCATTACCTTCCATTCAAAAAGGCCCTGAGGTGTTTTGAAGGCTGTTTTCCATTCGTCGCCCGGTCGAATGCGTATTTGATGATACCCGCTACGCAAGTCCAATTTGGAGAACACCGTGGAGCCCGTGAGCGTGTCCAGCAATTCCTCTATACGGGGCAATGGAAAACGATACTTAATTGTAATTTTATTTATAGCCCTGCTATCGACGCACATTCGCCATTTACCATCCTTGTTCGGTACTAACAAGGCAGGCACAGCGCACGGCCTTAGGCTCACTTGTATGAGCTGCTTTGCTAACAGATCTTCCACAATCTCAGCCAAAATAGATTGCTCCTTCGGATTGAGCCTGTAGTGAGATAAATTTGGTAACGTGGCACCCGGAATGAGATCGATTTGATGTTGTATGCTTCTGAGTGGAGGAAGTTCGGCAGGTAACTCCTCAGGTAACACTTCCGCAAATTGTTCGAGTATCTCGGCAATGTCTTGTGGCCATACTTCATGCTGTTGGGCGGAATTTACTTCTGTAATAAATAAAGCAAACATTGGGGACGGTTCACGCCAGCATTGCAACAATTTGGATCCGGACACGAGGTGCATTGCGGCCAACTGAGCTCCAGGTGTGGTTGCGGATTCTCCGAAAGTTCCTGACAGTAGCTTGATCTTGCGTCCCTTCCAGTCAAAGGAGTATGCATTTGCTCGTCCCTCATAATGAGCATCCACATCGAATTGCCATGGCCTTCCAAGAATCAAGTGGCACACGTCCATATCCAGGACGTCGCACAAGACCTCGCAAACATAATGTTTGCCAATAGAGAAGGTCACGCTGCAAGATTCAGAAACTACTATCTCCATTCCCCGTTTTACCCAACCTATTTTATACGGCTGAGGATGCTTCTTCGTTTTCAATTGTAGACCCTGAACCACAGAGCGGGAAACGATATTTTCGGTACAACCACTATCTATTAAGAGGTCACAAACTTTACCGTTGATTGTGCACCTCGTTTTGAAGATGGCGTGACGCTGGGATGGATTGGCCTTCCGCGGGGCTAACAACAACCTCTCCAGAATGCCAAGGAATGGCTCGCCTTCATCAGCTGGCACTTCTTCAACGTCATCTGCTTCGTCAATTTCGACCTCCCCTGCCTCGTTTTCTTCTTCCGCCCCCGCAAATTGTAACTGCTGCCTTTGCGGGCACTCATTAGATTTGTGTCCGGGTTGAAAACACCGGAAGCATTTCAACGTAGAGGGTCGTGCGTAGGGATTTGGATTGGGAGCCGACTTCTGCCGCAATTGAGATTTACCTTCGCCAAGCGAGTTGGTAAGAACACCCACTGGGGAATTAGTACTAGCTGACGGAACCGTTTTCACTGCCACTGGAGAATTGGTTTTTGCACTAGCTGGACTTGGTTCTTGCCAATGCCTTCGGTTATGAGGGGCCTTCGAATGACGATTCTGTTGGACTTCCACCTTCAATGCCAAGTTTACAGCCTGCGGCATTGTCCATACGGAGTTCAGCTCTAATTTGTCTTGAATGCTGTCCTTGAGACCTCCAATATAGCGGGCAACCAGTTGTGTACCCGATTCTTGCAAATCATTCTGAGCGCTCAGTCGATTGAACTCCTCTGTATATTCACTGACAGTGCGCGAACCTTGCATACAATGCTGATATCTCATGTAGAGAATCTGCTCATAATCAGTGGGTAGAAACTGAGCCCGTAACAACTGTTTCATCCGGCCCCAAGTGTTAATACGGCCTCTACCTTCCTTCCGCCTCATCTGCAAGGTCTGCTCCCACCATGCACTAGCGCCGCTTTTCAACCGGCAGGCCACATATTTCACTTGTTTATCAGGGGCAATCTCCATGTAATCAAAAAAGTTCTCAACCGATTTCTCCCAATCAAGATAGTCTTCAATATGCAAATGCCCGTCAAAAAACGGGATGTCCAGCTTAACCTTGAATTCGCCTGGGTGATGGGTGAAGTGATTTACTGTTCTGGGTCGACGCCGAACCGCCTCCCAATCCTCCTCAGTCTCTTCTTCACTGAAATGTCTCCTGTCGAAGCCGCGCCTGCGCGGAGGCGTCTCATCCTCCGAATCAACCACGTCAACTTGATACGCCGGAGCACGCCTGCCTTGATTGCCATTAGCAAATCGTCTTCGAGGAGGAATCCTATTCGCAGGCATTTCCTCTCGATTAAAAAGGGGTGGATCTCTCGCCGCATAGGGATTGAACCCCTGGCGCATCGCAACAGCCAGCCGCTGAACGTCGGCCGCTAAGTCATCAATCTTCCGATTCAACTGTTCCTGATTCGCCCATAGTGCATCCATGGTGCGAACTTCTTCCCGCACCGGTTCTTTGCCCCTGTCCGTCATTGTCTTCCAGAAATGGCTCTGATACCAACTGTTGCCTTGTACAGGATCGTTTTGGTACCTGGAAGAATAAGCACAACAATAGCAAACGAACACAGGAAAAGGTAGCAGGAAATACCTCTGTATATTGTATTCTCCCTTGAGAAAACTGTGTGTAGAAGATAACCAAAAGCTGTTTCTCTTCTCTACAATTCACCTATTTGTATTTCCCTGTTTTTACTATCTATTTTCTATATATTAAAAGCTGTAAAATACTTTAAAAAGAGCTGACAGCAGAAAAGTATACTAGGTAGTGGAGAGTAAAAGTTAGTTAGAGAAAACCAAGTGTGCCGCCGAACTTATTTAGCTATCCTGCACTGCATCAGATTTGGGGTGATCTAAACCAGTAAAATTGGGCTGTTTTAGGCTAATTCGTGCTGTTTAACTTATGCGGTGTGTCGTAATGTTTGGGGATGAAAGGAAGTAAACCATGCGACAAAACAAACAAGAAAGTAAAAGTAGCAGAAATAAAAGCACACAATGATGTAACGTGGAAAAACTCAAAATCTAGAAAAAATCACAGGCACACTATATCAAGAAATGTACTATGAAAATGAGAAAAATAAGTACAATCTCTCTTCTCTATCACTTTCTCCTTACCTTTCTTTTATCCTACAGTGGTCTTATACTCAAAACACAAGAGAAAGTCAAGTATATACTACCAAGGGATGCCGCCCTTGAGAATAACGAAAAAAAATTGTTCAATCCACCTCGGAATGCCGCGACACCAGTTTGGAGCATTGCAACGCTCAAACCTTTGATCTCAATCCATCTGATGTTGCTGCGGAACTCAAAAGCATGAGTATAAGCTACTAGCATTTTATCATTTCAAGTTTAAGAGGGAAATTTTGACTAAATTCTCATCTAATTGCTACATCATTCATTGTTATAGTATTCACCCTGCCTCCTACATATCTCCACAGGAAAGCAAGGGGAAGACAGAGCACAACTAGACTGGGAAACCAGGTTCCGCATAGCCCTCGGAGTTGCAAGAGGCGTTGCTCACATCCACTTACAGCAAGCCGGCAAACTGGTCCATGGAAACATAAAATCTTCCAATGTCTTCCTCAACAACCACAACTACGGCTGTGTTTCAGACCTTGGCCTAGCCACAATAGTAAACCTACCCATCCCTCCTTGGTCGCGCATTGCCGGTTATCACGCCCCTGAGGTGGTTGATACTCGGAAAGCTTCACAAGCCTCGGATGTATACAGCTTTGGCGTCCTTGTTCTCGAACTCCTCACCGGCAAGTCTCCCATCCAGAAAACTGGAGGAAGCGATGAGGTGATTCACCTGGTTCGCTGGGTTAGTTCTGTCGTCCGAGAGGAATGGACTGCCGAGGTGTTTGATTTACAGCTCATGAGATACTCTAACATAGAGGAGGAGATGGTTGAGCTGCTTCGAATCGCAATGGCGTGCGTTGCAAGGATGCCGGAGCAGCGTCCGAAGATGATGGATGTTGTAAGAATGATCGAGGATGCAAAGAAGCTTGATAGCGGAAGCCGGCCTTCAGCGGAGGAAATGTTAGAGGATTGATGGAGCTCCTCTCTGAGTTCATTCATTATCGTGTAGCATTCAGTTCTGATTTCTTCATTCTTGGGTGGCAGCAGAAAGAGTATTTTTCTGATCAGATTCGTGTGGTTTCCTTCATGCGCCTTGCAAATGTTTTATTTGGTAAGCTGTCGATGTAATCTTACCTACCTTGTTCTGGAATTCCTGAGCATTGGCAGGCTCAATATCCATTGTTGGGTAATATCTATCTGGTTTAGGCAGGAGAAATTATTCTGTGCGGACACCGGATGGAAAGAACTGTTCGATTTTGTCTCTGTGAACAGTAAAAGCACAACATGAACAATAAAAACACAGTTCATTGTTCATAGAGATAAACCGGATGGTTCGTTCCGTCTTGTATCTGCACAGAATAATTCATCCTTAGGTAAGGTTTGCTGGTATTTTTTCCCCTATAAACTTCAGATAATTTATAAGCTATATTTTGGTGTTTTTTTTTTTTTTTTTGAATACTTTGTCATTGTGGAGAGTAATTTTGTAATCTTAGTAAAATGTTATGAGATCTTTGTACCATCTTTTGCATGCTAATCATATCATTATCAAAATTTAATTAAAATGGATCTCAAAGTTATTTAATTTATTTTGAGAATGATTAAAAAATAGGTTTTTTTTAATAAATGAAAATCAAGCTTGCTATTTGATAGTAAAGTACCCTTTTGAAGGGAAAGAAATTTTGTATGGTGGGCATTTGCCTCTAAGAGCGAGTAAATGATAATTAGATAATACATGACTTATTATAGTAGTATTCTTATCCCCCCCTATTTATGATAAAATAAGAGAAAATCTAATAGTTGTGTAGCTTGATCCGGAGAAAATATACTAGTTGTGTAGTTCGATAAGAATATTCGGTTGTATTAAGTCGCCTATTCTATGCTTTTTCGCAGGTTGGGATGAATTCTTAGAAAGCGATCACCTACTTGAGATTAGTTTTTTTTTATAAGATAGAAAACATGAAACTAAGAAGAACAACTTGACTTGAATCGGTTGATTTAAGCTTCGTTTAAAATAGTTTATAGACTTGAAATGCATACAATATCTAATTAATATAGAAGATATTATAGAATTATATAATTTTAAAAATTATAATTATTATTGCATGCATATTTTTACTTCTAAACTTAAAAAAGACACATTTTTTTAAATTTTAATTATCATTTAAGTCTTAATTAATAGATCATGAATGCCATTAAATTTTAAAAGTGAATTCAAATTTAGTTATATTCAATTCAAAATAACATCTAATTATTTAATATCCAACTATTTTATTTAGCCCTAAATTATATGATACGTCAAACTCAAATCAACAATTTTTTATTTAATTTAAATCACTTTAACTCAAATTAAGATTTGCATAATTTCATTAATATATATATATATATATATATATATATATATATATATTTGTTTCCTCCATTGGGTTAACGCTCTGTCTCACTCCGAGTTTTCGCGCATTGGGAGAGTTACAGGTTCCACCTTTTTACTCTCAAGCTCAATCCTTTCCTTTTAGTTTCCTTTCGACGTTGCTCTTCATAACTATTACCGATTTGAAAGTTGGTGGGACTGTAATTAGGTCTTCGGCCATGGCTTCCAAGCGAATCTTGAAGGAATTGAAGGATCTGCAGAAGGATCCCCCGACATCTTGCAGCGCAGGTTATTCCCGATTGGATTTCGTTGTTTCTATATAGGCTAAGGAAGTTGTCTTGATTTAGATCTCAATCCATTGTTGATACTGGTCTTGATCGTTAAACTTGAGCTCTGCAGTTTGTTTTCTCTTGAGAAAAAGAAGGGAAAGTTATCTGAAGTGCAATTTTCGATATTGAATTGATTATCTGTATGCTTGTCACATACCTTATGTGGTTAGTTCAAATATTCTGGGATTTGTATTTTTTTTTTTCTAGCTAGAACTGAAATTTTAGCGCTGGGCTGGGCCTGCCAGGCTGTTTATTTTTTGTGCCTTTGATAGGCGTAGATTTTATTCTGCAGGCCATTCATGATACCTGTGCTTTTGAGTGTGAAAAAATCCACGTTATTGCTTGGAAGATGAGTATCTTTTTGTGTGTGTGTGTGAATAAAGGATTATGATTGAATCTTAAAACCGAAGGAGGCCATGCTGATTTAAATACAGCTATCTAGATTTTATTTCAGTGTTGCACACTAGTATGAGAATAATTTTTTGTTTAAGGGCAACTCCAATGGAACGGCAAACACTTGTTTGCCGTTCTTGCTTTGCTCCAACCGACTGCCATTTTTGACGTCATTTGATCGCGGATGAACAGTGAGACGCCAATATTGCCGTTGCACTGTTCATCTGCGCCATTTTGTTGGTCTCAACGGTCTCTACCGAACTTGCGGAAGAAAGGCACGAACAATGGTTACGGAGCAAAATGGCGTTCGATTGGAGATGAATCACGTCATTTTTTCGATTCCACTGCATTTTGGAGTGAAAAATGAGATTTTCGGTTGGAGATGCCCTAAACTGAGCGATGAATGTTAAATACTCTGCTTTTTCAACGGAGAGTTCTTTCCTAAGATTAGAAGCGGCTCCTTTAGTTGTAAAAACCTTCCATTCAATTATCTTGCATGTAAATGCATATTTTATTTCTACTAATGGAAGGGAAGATGAATCTAAAAATCAGCACAGCTTTCAATTAAGTTTAAACTCATGTTTAAATAATTCAACAATCCATTTAATCTAAATAATCAAATGATTTTTAAAGTACATTTAAACATATCAAATTTAAAACTAATGAGTTAAATAAATTTAAAACCCAATTAGTTAATCTAATTAATACATGAAATATAAAACACAAGAATCAATGTTTTTACTAATCTAGTTTATGTACAAACTCCCAAACTGGCAACTCTCCAAACTACTGAATAACTCATCGGTAAGAAGCAGCAAACAACATATAAAGCCACAGGATCCGCAACACTCGTAATAACGAATAGAATGCTATATCCTTATAATAACCTCAATTTATAAATTATAACACACCCTATATGTGCTCCAAGTCTCCAACAAATGTGTTAAAGTTACAAATACAAATTTTCGAGAATGCTGCGCTGGGTCAAATGTTCATTAATGTAGCATTCTTTTTTCAAAATAAATCTAGCTCACATGTGCTCCAATCGTCACATTTGAGTTCCAAATCCAACGATTCGAGAATGCTGCATGAGTCAAATATTTAAGTTTCATTCTCCTCGAAAGGACTTGAGTCGACATGACTTGAAGTACAAAATGCCTCTCAAAATCTTACGAAAATACAAGTGACCTTAACATCACCTCGATGATGGTCGTGTTAATCAGAAATCTCAATCGGAGGGATTAAATCTCAAATTAATAAAAGTCTAAACCCCCAAAATAAAATTCATCACTTAAAAAACTTAAAGCTAAAATTCATACATCTTCCACAACTCTTTATCAGGGTGATAAATTTGAAATTAACCTTAGCTCACAAAGAGGGAATGTGTATTAGGTGTATCGCTAAGATTTATTCTCAAATAGTCTCTTACCAGCAGGGACGTGGCACGTGCCATCTGATCGGGTGGTTTTGCCACAAAATGGTACCATTATATTACGGTCACGGCCAAAGTCCATATGTTTCCTAACGGCGTCAAACCCTAGAGCAATGAATCATAGGGTATATTTTGATAGGCATAAAGCCCTCTGTTAGCTAAGGTGGATTTAAATCTATCCCCTTAAATAAACATCAACTTAGGTCTATAAGGTATTCTTGGACGAAACAACCCATGGCTGCCGATAACGTACCTTCTGTCAGTTTGGGTCGACTACATCCTTTGACTAAGTAGACCAGGGATCATGACAGTCCGGGATGACGAACCATGGAATCTTGATCCGGCTCGTTTTCATTCTCCCCATCACCAGTTCTAAGTTTACGGTGATAAACTTTAAATCTCAAACTCCAAAGTTCATATCCCAAATTCAAACACTAAAAACCGTTGCTATTATACATCAAAGTTTACTACCTATGCGACCTCTTTAACGACTAGCCTTAATCGAAAGTTCTCTCTTGTTATCAGAAGGAGGTAATTAACTATAGGGGCTTGCGTCTATAGGAAACCAAAACTCAGATAAAAAAGTCCTCACAAAATGAGGGTGAAATCTCTGGGTTGTGTCTTATCTAAAACCCAATTTGCCTTCTGAAAATTCACCCAAAACTTAAGCTTGTTAAAACTCTCTGTCGTCATTACACATAAAAGAAAAAGAGGCCGATGGCGTGGAGAGGCCGGGGCACATTATGGAATTTTCGGATCCCACACTAGGTAATCATAAAGGTCTCTATGGTTCATAGAGGGAGCAAGCCCTAGCCAATAAGGTCAGCAGTTAATAGGTGCACTATCATATAGCAAATGACTAATACATCCTACCATGAAGCAATGGATGGGAAAGTAAAAGAATAGTCCTGTTTATGCTAGTGTAGCCATTTGACATACAAGAGAGAAGTCTTTATAAGTTGCATAAATTATATATGATCGTGGTGTACCGAGGAGTATTAGTACACTCCGACAAAATGTAGGAGTCTTTCTATAAGGCTCAATCAAGAACGACCCACTAAGAATAGCTGTTGACAAGAACAATCGCCCTTTCCCTGACCAGACATCGCCCAATGCAAGAGCTTCGAACCTTTCTTTCAGCTGTTGATTTCAGCTGCTCGGAACTTCTGTTTCTCTTCTTCTATCATCTACGACCTATTGAATCCCATTTCTTTCCATTGCAATGAATTCAAACCTTTAGATTCTTTCAAAAACGCATTCGGTATCAGTTCTTGTTATCAAGAATCACATCATTTATCCATTTTTCAGAAGCCACCAAAGAGCTCTCAACATGAAAAATGCTAATTTGGCGGAAGCCATCCGGACGATGTAAAACAATCAAGAATTATAATTCTTAGAAATACAAAAATCTTTACAAAAAGCCGATGTTCAATTTGCTTTTATTGGCTCAT